TTTCTGTGATCAAACCAAAAACCACATAACTATGACCAAGGAAACTTTCCTTAGAGGTGATTGTTCACAAAGGGGAAAATAATTGGAATTTCACAAACCAGTAATTACAAAAGCGAGAAAGGTGAGTATGGTGTATTTTATAACTATAATAATAAAGAAACTATAGTGAAAATTTAAAAATGTGCCTTTCATCAACTTCGTTAAAGGTTAAAGTCTGAGATGAAAGATAGATAAACCAAAAAGCACACCTGCTGAGAAGTTTAAGGGACCTGAAATCGGTTGTTTGGCAAGTCGGGCAAACTCCAGAATTGAATGCTTCTTGCCTCTGTCCAGTGCTTCTATTGTGACTCACTGGTGACAGCTGGTTTTGTTATTATTGCAGTCATCACATGCTGTGGCCTTATTATTAACAATGATATTTTGCACGATTGAGCTGCTCTAAAAATCTCTGCGAGACTTTGGCAGTTTTTCCATTCATCTTGTTTCTGTTTCTGCCTGTCAGGTCCATTTGTATTGAACTTGGTGCTTTGTACCATGTGGAAGAGCCCAAGAGCCATCAGAGGGAGAGGCTGTGATGTGACTGAAGTGAGAGGGGACACAAGTCACAGCAGGAGCAGTGTACATGGCATGATGGCTCCCGGGTCGGGCTCACACATTGCCTGGCTTCTGGGGATGGTAAGAGAGCCATCGGCCTTTCTGTGTATCTCTGAGGGCTCAGGAGTGTCAGCTATGGAGGCCTGGAATAGCTTCTACACCATGCATGAAGGACAGTAGCTCTTGTCCTGGGAGAACACAATTCTGCACAGCAAGATGGCAGCCAGCGCTTGGTGGTGGGAAAGTCACTTCCGATTCTGGGCCTCAGTGTTCTCCTCTGTAAAGTGGCAGGGTGGGGTCAGATGATGTTCCTGACCCTTCCCAGCTCTTCAACCCCCCTGCCCAATAACACTGGGCTTGGACATGCTCTGGAAGGTGAACTCCATCAGAGGCAGAGGCTGGCACATGGTCTGAGGCCCTCTACTCCTTCTCCACCAGGAGAGGTGACCACCACTTATGCTTGTACCTTGTTGTCCACTTGAGTCAGTTTTCCTGCTCCCCCTGCCAGGCCTCCAGGCTACTTTTCCATGATGCTCCTTGTCTCATTCCATGAGAGGCCTCACGCTTTTCTGCAGAGAAAGAGATGAATCCACCAGCTCCTACAAACAGAACAACATTTTCCTGCTTCCTTCCTTGCTGGTAGGTTGAGATGATGTGAGGGAATTCTGGCTGAGTAGGATTTGGGAAAACATGCTTGCACCTAGGAAACCTTCTTGCTCTCTGTGCTCCTGCTTGGGAGAATTGATGGGTGTGATCTGGAATTTTCCCATCCAAAAGCAGAATCTTCCAAAAAAAAAAAAATTAAGACAAGTCTCAGTTTGCCCGTAAAGTTCTAGGTGCTAGGCTGGGCCACCATGTGGGAGGGGATCCTATGGAATAGATTGATCAGGTAAAGAAATTACCTGTAAATTATCCACAACAACAGTTTGGCAGTTCCTCAATAAGTCAAACAGAATAACTGTAAGACCTAGCAATTTCATTCCTAGGTATATACCCCAAAGAAATCAGAACAGGTTGTATTAGTCATTTTGGCATTCCTAGGACAAAATACCTGATGCTCACACCTTAAAGGAGGAGAAGTCTAGTGCTTGCTTTGGCAGCACAGGTACTAAAATGAGGAGAAGTGTACTTTAGTTCACAGTTTCAGTGGATTTAGTCCACGGTCAGCTGGCTTCACAGCAGAAATAGCATGGCAGAAGGGTATGGAGGAGAAAAGCTGCTCAAGCCTTGGCAGCCGGGAAGCAGAGAGAGAGAGAGAGAGAGAGAGAGAGAGAGGAGAGAGATGTGGAAGAGCTAGAGCCAGAGATATACACTCCAAAGACATGGCCAAGGTGATCCACTTCCTCCAAGTGGGTCAGACCTGCTAACAGCAAAGTCAACTGTGAACTCATCAACGGAATGGTCCACTGATGGATATAGCACCTTCACAATCCAATCACCTTGCAGAAGCCCCATCTCTGACCACCTGAGACTTTTGGGGACCATTTTAGATCTAAACCATAAAAAAGAAGTTTAAACACGAACTTCTACACAAATGTCCATCGTGACACTATACATAGTAGCCAAAAGGCAGTGACAACTCAAATAACCACCCACAAAGAAGTGGATAAACAAATGAATATAATGCATCCATAAAAATGAATCGTCATGCATGAATACACGCCACACCGCAGATGGACCTTGAAACTATGCTGTGTGAAAGAATCCAGCCACCAAAGGCTCTGCATTGTGTAGTTAGTTCCCTCATTACGAAATATTAGCCTATAAAGACACCTAGAAACCAGCATTTGCAGGGATTGAGGAAGGGAATATGGGCAGTACTGGGGAAAAGATTTCCACTTGGGGTGATGAGATGGTTCTGGATCTGGAAAGCGGCTGCCATCTCTTCTCTCTGCCCACCTCTTTCCTTCCTAGGAGGCTCTTGGGCTTGAAGAGGCTCATTTCAGGTTCTTTGTCAAACAAGAGAGCTTGATTGCCTCTGATGAATGGCTTTGACCTTCGAAACATAAAAGCCTGTTTGCCCATATTATCTTTGGCAGGAGTGGCACACGCAGAGGGTAGCTCCTCATTTTTTATTTTTTTAAAAACTAAGTGCTGCCTTCTCCCTCTCTTGTTGGACAATAGGACTTGATTGGTTGTCGCCACGGGGGTCACACTTGGTACAGCAGTGTCATATTTACTGGATCATCACTGGGCTCACGTGTTTTGGAGAGCAGCCCATGGGGTTCTCTGCCACCCTCTGACTCCCGTGCTGATCAAAGCACAATTTTACCTGGCAACAGGAGTTCTGTGGTCCCAAAGGAGGTTAGAGTTTATCCTAGAACAAATGGGAAACATTGAAGAGTTTATATGAAAGGAGAGACATGACCCAAATTGTACATTGGAGAGAATTCTAATAGTCCTTAGAACAAAAGCCAATGGGCAGCAAATGTTTTCTGTAAAGGGCTAGATTAAACATATCTTCACCTTTCTAGCCACACAGATTCTGTCATATATAGTCTATTCTGCTGTTACTGGATGAGAGCAACCAGACAGCATGTAAATGAGTGGATGTGGTTATTTCCCAATAAAACTTTATTTATAAAAACAGGCTGTGGGCTGGGTGGGTTTGGCCCAAGCACTATCATTTGCAAGCCCTGGTAGAGGCTGAATTAGAGAAAGTGAAATTTAAATACATAGAAAGCCAAAAAGAAGCCATAGCGGTCTTCTATCTTGTTTCGTTGTGGTTTGTCTTTATTGTTTTCCAAACTCCGTTCACCTTTTCTCTGGGTAACAGTACCATATTTTTCCCAGCAAAGCATTCTCTTCTGTTTTCTTACCTCCCCAACCCATTCAGATGCAATGGACTCCACTTTCTTTTTAGTGCATGCACATGACCAAGGCCTGGACAATCAAAACATGCCTTTCATGGCCTGGAGAGATTAAAAGGTGGACAGTCCTGGAATCCAGTCAGAACATGTGATTGGAGGCATGCTCTCATCATTGGACTTGACCTAGGAGAGTATAGCTATGGAAACTTGGCTGCTTTCTTGGCATCAGTGAAGGCTGAAACCAGAAAGAAACCATTACAAGGTAGAAACAAGACATTGAAGAGCCACAGAGATGCACATAAGATGTGAGGAGTGCTGACCTAATGCTTTGTTTAGGGCTGACTCCAAGACTCTTTCCTGTGGAGATGATCTTTACTCAAGGAAAACCATCAGTGAACAGCATTAGGCCAGGGTCAGATGTAGCATCCTTCATCTTAAGGAAATAAGTTACTTGAGTCAGTGTGACTTTCTGAATCTACACTGCTCTATTTGATCTGGAAGTGTGTGTTTAGGCCATAGGTGGTGGGAGACTTCTTGAGATTTTGTCCTTTAGAGAACCATTGCGGTTTTAGTAGGAGTTGAACTGTATTTATGCTCAGATAATCTTGCACACTTGTGAGGAAAGTGGAAGTTTTAGGTGGGGTATGGGGTGGAGAGGGATGGGGGATGCCAGGTGGGTGGCTGTCCATGGCATGTTTGAGGCTGTAACTTGAAGGTGAAGATAGCTTTTGTGAGGGACTTGTGAGGCTGGGTAAGCTGTGCTGTGTCACATTCACAGTCACTGGAACCCAGTTCTTCCTGGAGTCCAGTCTTTGGGAGGACAGGAGCTGGCACTGTGGGGCACCAGGAAGAGCATGCTCAGACTAAGGCAGACACAGATGACACTGATGCTTGAACCCCTCTAGGCATCCTGCCCCCCCCCCCCCCCCC